AAGTTGAGCAAATGTCTATTTGTGGAACTGCTTGCGCTTATGTATGCAGGCCTTGCCAAACTTTACCAAAAAATTTTTATGCATGAATGGGTTACAGAACTTCAGCAAATGCCAAAAAGACACTAAAGATAGGTCTAACATTGTAATATTCATGTCATGAAGTGATGACAACATATACATAAAAATTGTACATGAACACTAGCCCAATACAATATCAGACACCCCCATGTAGACTTCTAAATTTTTCCAAGAAACATTCCATCATTACTATTGATGCCTTCAATTCTAATTTATATGGTTAAAAATACATGAATGACCACAGTCTTCTTTTTATTCATTTGCATTACTTCTGTACTATTATTTCTATCTTACATTATGTAAAAAGCAAATTATCATCATTGAGAATTCATTAATATTATTCTAAAGCAAATGTAGATTTGTAAAGGAATCACTCTTCCTTCTCATTTCTATTTCCATTCAAATCAAAGTAAAACTCTCGTACTTGAGTTCTGGCTTAAAATCAGTCCCAAATTTTTCATCACAGCAACAACTTAAACTTCACTTACAGTGGAAACTAATTTTTTACTGAAAATTCCCATGGATATAAACACTGGGGATGGACTTTTTAGTAAATATTTCTGTTTTCAATTGAACTTATATTCACCTATTCATTTACTTTTTTTTTTTTTGTTAAGACTTTTAGCTCCTGACATGAAATATTAAATAATCAGTTTAACCCATTGCCGCCAGGGAAAATGAACAAAAAATGGGGGAAACGCAGTACTCATTTTTTATATTTTTGTGAAATATCTCTGTCCGTAGATGGCTCTGCTAGTCCTGATTTCACTTTTCCTTGAATTGGCGGGAAAAAACGTATATTTACTAGTGTTATAAATAGAGATGGTGTTATTTTTAACAGCAAATTAGGATAAAGTTAAATATTTTCATAAACCGATGAAAAGGGTGAACGGGCGAGTCAGGCAGTACTCGTAATTGGCTCATTGGATACTTAGTACAAGTGTAGCCATCTATGTGTAAGAACAATCGAACAAGTCGACTCACAGTGGGCATGGCATGTACGTACATGCCATCCCCGGCGGCAATGGGTTAAGTAAATAAAAAATTTGAAGACAAAATATTTTTCATAGATACATCCACACATAAAATAGTCACCATACACTACATTCTCAGTCTAAAGAAAAAGAAAAAAAAGAGAGAAAGAAAGAAAATAAGAAGGAAAAAAAAAGAAAAAAGAGAGGAAAAGAAAGAAGGAAAGAAAAAACATAAAAAAGTATGATTTCACAATATGCACCTCTACACATACACACACACACACACATATATATGTATATATATACATATACATATATTTACACATATAAATATATATATATATATATATACATATATATACAAACACATATATATATACATATATAAACATACATAATATACATACATACATATACACATGGTAGAAAAACCCACAATGTAAATCTAAATTTATTGAAAGCGAGACTACAATTTCGGAATCCACCTGGATTCTGAAAATATAGTCCCACTTTCAATAAATATAGTTTTATGTTTGGGTTTTTCTACCACAGTATCAACACAGTAGTGTCTTACCATTCACATATACACATACATATATATATACATCATACAAATATATACACATACATATATATATAATATATATACGTACTTATATATACACATGTATATTTATATGGACATACATATGTATACATATATATATACATACATTCATACATATACACATATATACACATACATTCATACATATACATATATATACATACATATACATATACATATACATATACACATATATATATATATACATATACATACACACATACACATACATATATTCAAATATTCATATTTACATGGTCTTTGGTTTTACCCACTGATATGCAAACTCTAATCTTGGTGATTCTCCTTTCTCACACTGCTCCACCCCATTCCCAAAACAACATACAGCTACATTCCAAATTTTTCTTTTTACTATTCATACACTTAGAGACCTATAAATACATCTACATACACAGTTTATTGTTTAACTTGACCAAAAAATAATCCTAAAAGTGTTTAAATTACATATTCAGAACAATCAATCCCATATTTGTTCAAATGCAAGGGGGCATTGTAAATAGCTTTTTCAACTTTGCACTCTACTGACACAAACTGTATCTGATATATGATGTGTCTATGAAATATACTACTTCTGAATTGTAAATTTGAGCTCTTCATATGCCTGCAACCAAAATTTACTTTAGTAAAACCTGAAAAAGTATGCCGTTTATTTGCAACTGGGGGGCAAACAAGCTGGGTGGTTTATGGTTTTTGGAGGTTAAGCTTAACCATTCAGGATTCAGGATACAAAAGATAATTAACAGCTTTGACCTACAGTAAAATTTCAAGTTGTTACCTGTAAAGCATATCAAACTCATATAAATTTTTGCTTTTGATATCTCATATTACAAACAAATGTACAAATAATGTTAGTTTTGTTCATGTTAAATTCATTACTAGTAAGAAGCACACCTTAAATTAATAGAAAAAAATCTTATCTCCTACTACTAACAATAATTCAATATCATGAAGTCATAGAGAAATGATGCCATCTATTATATTTCAAACATAGTAAACCCTAGCCAATGTCACTGCTAACTGCTCTTGATCAAATGAACACATTCATAATCCCATTCATTCTAGCGTAAAAGGTATCTCAGCCCTGCAAATTGAGAGAACACAGTTGTGCTGACATTAATACCAATGAATGTAACTATCATATCATCAACTTACAATGATAGAGGGATCCACCATCAGCATATTCCATAACAAGGCACTTATGGGCATCGGATGTGCATGCCCCATATAACTTGATGATGTTCTCATGTTCAACTCGAGCCAATTGTTGAACTTCATTGTAAAAGGCATTGACCTGAAATACCAGAAACTATTAGTAAAACAAATGATCTGATGAGTTGCAATTCCAGACATGAAAAATAATAGATAATACAAATATCTATCTATATCTATATATGTAAATCCATAAACATATATAGAGAGAGATAGGTGGATAGACAGATAGACAGATAGAAATGAGTAAATCACATAAAACTGATTCATAGGATTTACAACTATTCTAAATTACATAAATACATAAACACAACTTTCCAAACTCATACCTGGTGATATGTACATAAACAAGTAAATTAATGCATTTTAAGATAATCAAAAATAAAAAATACTACAAATATTACTAATAATAAGAATGACACCAACAAAATTAATACTACTACTACAACTACTACTATCAAATACTGTTGTTAAAGCTAATAATAAAGTTAACATTAATAATAATACTAATACTACTAATAATAATGATAATAATAATAAAATATTAGTATTATTAATAATAATAACAATAATACCATGACAATGATAAAAAAATAACAAAAATAACAAGAACAAAGATCATAATCATAATAATAATAATAATGATAATAATAACAATAATAATAATAGTAACAATAATAATAATAGTAACAATAACAATGACAATAACAATAATAATAATAATAATAGTAATAATAATAATAATAATAATAATAATAATAATAATAATAATAATAATAATAATAATAATAATAACAACAATCATAAAAAAATAATAATAAAAGAAAAAAATATTAATGAGAATACTATTACTAATGCTGCTATAGGTGCTGCTGGTACTACTACAGGTAAAATTATAATAATCATAATAACCATAATAACAATTATTACCATAATAAAATAATAATTATCATTATTACTATCATCATTATAACAATTACAATACCCTAATGATAATAAGAACAATCATAAAACCTCAATAACTACAACAATTACAATAATAATACCAACAATAATTATGATAATGATTACGATGATGATGATAATAATAGCAACAATAATAATAACAAAACAATAGCAATAATAATAATAATAATAATAATAATAATAATAATAATAATAATGATAATAATAATAATAACAATAATAATAATAACAATAATAATAATGATATGGATGATAACAACAACAATTACAATATCAATAAGAAAAACAATAAAAACAATAACAGTAACAATTATAATAACAATAACAGTAATAATAATGATAATGTAAATAACAACAGTACTCCTAATAATCATTGGCATTGTCATTATCACTACTAATATTGTCATTATCACTACTAATATTGTCATTATCACTACTAATATTGTCATTATCACTACTAATATTGTCATTATCACTACTAATATTGTCATTATCACTACTAATATTGTCATTATCACTACTAATATTGTCATTATCACTACTAATATTGTCATTATCACTACTAATATTGTCATTATCACTACTAATATTGTCATTATCACTACTAATATTGTCATTATCACTACTAATATTGTCATTATCACTACTAATATTGTCATTATCACTACTAATATTGTCATTATCACTACTAATATTGTCATTATCACTACTAATATTGTCATTATCACTACTAATATTGTCATTATCACTACTAATATTGTCATTATCACTACTAATATTGTCATTATCACTACTAATATTGTCATTATCACTACTAATATTGTCATTATCACTACTAATATTGTCATTATCACTACTAATATTGTCATTATCACTACTAATATTGTCATTATCACTACTAATATTGTCATTATCACTACTAATATTGTCATTATCACTACTAATATTGTCATTATCACTACTAATATTGTCATTATCACTACTAATATTGTCATTATCACTACTAATATTGTCATTATCACTACTAATATTGTCATTATCACTACTAATATTGTCATTATCACTACTAATATTGTCATTATCACTACTAATATTGTCATTATCACTACTAATATTGTCATTATCACTACTAATATTGTCATTATCACTACTAATATTGTCATTATCACTACTAATATTGTCATTATCACTACTAATATTGTCATTATCACTACTAATATTGTCATTATCACTACTAATATTGTCATTATCACTACTAATATTGTCATTATCACTACTAATATTGTCATTATCACTACTAATATTGTCATTATCACTACTAATATTGTCATTATCACTACTAATATTGTCATTATCACTACTAATATTGTCATTATCACTACTAATATTGTCATTATCACTACTAATATTGTCATTATCACTACTAATATTGTCATTATCACTACTAATATTGTCATTATCACTACTAATATTGTCATTATCACTACTAATATTGTCATTATCACTACTAATATTGTCATTATCACTACTAATATTGTCATTATCACTACTAATATTGTCATTATCACTACTAATATTGTCATTATCACTACTAATATTGTCATTATCACTACTAATATTGTCATTATCACTACTAATATTGTCATTATCACTACTAATATTGTCATTATCACTACTAATATTGTCATTATCACAACTAAGGTTGACCTATATATAAACAAATTTCCTGAAAAACTGTATGGCAGCAAAAACTTATGGCTATTTCTTAATAAATAAAGTTCTGTATTATTTATCAACAGGTAAAGGTTGCTTGACAATTGCAATGCAAATGGTATGACCCTCATTATGAATTTAATTTCATGGGGGAAATTAAGGGTTCAGGAAATAACATATATATGTAAGAAAATTACATTTACCAAAATGGTTTTCAAAAATATGTTCACATTTTTCAGTAACTGAAACGAAAACAAAAGAGCTGAAATAACATAACGAAATTAGTCAAATATAGGAATGTTTTGTTTTCTTCATTCACCTGTTAAGATTCTCTTTAAAGTGATTTGCAACCTGACCAACATTGCAAACCCGATAACATCACACAAAACGAAGAAACATCTACTCCAATTTTCCCAATTTTCCAACTTTAAACCTAAAAAAAAAACTCTCCTCCGATATAATTTTTTTAAAGCAATATTTACAGTTATTTATTTGTTTTATTTATTCCCCCCTATGCGTTTTATCGTTATTTATCCCTTTTTCTTGTTTTGATTCTTTATTTTTATTGCTGCTTATCTTTGTCTATCATTATTCCTTTTTCTTCTTCTTTTTTATCTGCTGACCGAATTTATATATTAAAAGTCCCCCCGATCGGCATGGGAAAATTCCTCCTTTACCTCTAAAAAGTGGATATCTTCCTTATCTATCTCTCCTTTACCTCTAAAAAGTGGATATCCTCCTTATCTATCTCTTCACAGTTCTCGACCTGGTTATCCATGGCAGATAAGTGCATCGTCTCAAGTCATTTCTCACGAGGGGGAAGTTGGAGACAAATTTTTTGACGTAAACAATCCCTCTCCGTAAAACCTTTCCTGAGTATAGATGTCGAAACTACACGATTGCCAAGGATTTCCAGCTGATCGTTATAGGATTTGATACTTTATATTTAAGTTCGGATCCTATTATTTGGAATTATAAGGGATCAAATCTCCTTTGGTTTCTTGAGTTCCATCTCGATTCTTGTATCCGAGAGCAGACGGAAAACAAGACAAGGTCGAGAAGCGCAAGCAATATTTACAGTTATTTATTTGTTTTATTTATTTCCCCCTATGCGTTTTATCGTTATTTATCCCCTTTTTCTTGTTTTGATTCTTTATTTTTATTGCTGCTTACCTTTGTCTTTAATTATTCGTTTACAAATCTTCATGCTTATTCCATATAGCTTCTTGCTTTTGTATTCAGCGACATAAATAAAAAAGAAAAATCATATAAAGGAAAATATCATAGAAAACTGTGAAAATTGTAAAAAAGATAGTTTGGAAACTATCAAGAAACACACGGCATTTTTTATAAACAAGATCTGCAAGATGAAAAAAATCCTCAAGATGAAAGGATTTCAGTATTAGGAAGGTTAAGGTTGACGAAATCTACGTGAATATGATATATATAATATACATATATATATATATATATATATATATATATATATATATATATATATATATATATATATATATATATGTATATATATATATATATATATATATATATATATATATATATATATATATATATATATATATATATACATATATATATATATACACACAAATTGACTTATGGTTACTCTTTCAGTATTAATATGGACTTTATTATCTTTTCTGTCGTAAACACTACATTTACATTAGGCTTTGTATAATTTTACTACAATAATGAAGATTATACTTATATTCTGATTAAATTAAAATAAAATTTATTGCTATTATGGAAGAATTCTAAGGGAAATTTATAGGGAACAAAGAGAAAGAGAGACATGCATAGAGTTAAATAGATATATAAACATGAAGTAGATAGAGGCAGAGAGAGAGAGAGAGAGAGAGAGAGAGAGAGAGAGAGAGAGAGAGAGAGAGAGAGAGAGAGAGAGAGAGAGAGAGAGAGAGAGAGAGAGGGGGTGAATGAGAGAGAGAAAGAGAGAGAGAATGTGAGACTTTTTTTTAGTTAAATATAATTTTGTAATATCCCAGAACATCAAACATACATGTATGTTTATAGAGTCTTATCCTGATATCATTTGAATTAATCTTTCAGTATTTTATATTGTTTTTTTGTAATGATTAAGAAAAGGTAAGGAAGAAAGTTTTTTTTTTTTTTTTTTTTTTTTTTTTTTTTTTTTTTTTTTAGATTATCCAATGGTGAATCTTGACGAAAAGGAACATGAGAAAATGCAGGTTCATTCATAAAAAATAATTTAGCATAACAAGAAAATAATGATATATCAAACGTGATCTTACATACCAGTCAATAATCTTTACGAATTTATTTATTGCAAAAATAATGGCTTAATGAAGTAAACGTGCAATACCGAAGTATATGTTTTAATAAATTTATACCTTTTGACTGCGGACTTTATATAGGATTAAATTTTGTTTGATGAAAAGTGTGTTTTAGATATAGAAATGAGTTACCTTCCTTATTTTGATTTATACTATCAATATTGTCATCTTACTCACGTATGTTATGAAGATCACATATTTAGCTCCTTTTTTCCATAACATTTTGCCACAGCCACTACCGGTAATTACTATTTTAAGTTTTCAATATAGTTCATGCGTAAATTTTATCATGTAGTTAATACTCCTATTCATAATATGATTATTAGCATTGTCATTAGTGTGACCATTCTCTCTCTCCTGTATCACCCCCCCTCAAAGCAGATAAGGTTGTACTACGAACTCCCCCCCCCCCCACCTCTCTCTCTCATTTTCTCACTTTTCCTTTCTCTCACCCTTTCTCTTAGTGTTTTACCCCCCTCTCCTCCCTCTTTCTCTTTCTTTCTCTCTCGTTTCATTATTAATTTTTAGATAGTTTTCATTATTTTCATGGATGGACGTTGGACTTTTCATGGATGGATTTTTACTTTGTTTATTTTTCATCGGATATGCACTTGAATCATCTAAAACTTTCAGACTTTTCATCTCTAATATATCTCCTTAATGTCTTGTCTCTTCTTGTTTTCTTCCTTTTTGCCGTTACCCCAGCAAGAGACAATCTAAACTGTTGCAAAATAGAATCAGGAATCAGGATGGTACTCGACGGAACGGTCATATTTCTGTTGAAGAGGAATTTTTAAAAATCAACACTAAAAGTCTTTCATTATCTCTCTTTCTCTACTACCTATCTTTTAACAGGCTTTAATCAGGATAAAAGTCTGATTTTTAATACTGCAGCAGAATTATATCAAACGAAAGATACTGTGGCTAGAATTTTTAATTTCGGTTCGCGATATATAAGCTTTTTTTGGCGAATATCTCGATTGTCGGAAATTGCACGTCACGTCTTAAGTTTTTTTATTATCTTTATCATATATGATCATTTTCTCGGTATTAATCCATAATAATGACAAAATCAGTGTGTTCAGAATTAATAGGCTGCATTTTTTGCTGCTCTTTTTTGTAATGCGATGTAATCATTACTAGAATATGTTTAGACTGTGTGTATGTATGCAAGGCATACGTACAGTACTTACATAAATTACACGAGCTTACTATGTAATATAGCACTATGACTAAACAAAGAAACAAAACAAAACAATACAAACAAAAAAAGATAGAGAATTATAGAGATCAAGAAATACAGAGGAGTACGGTTTAGAAATGAGGTAGTGTCACAATCACAATAAAATCTAATATCATCTATAGTACTGCTAATTGCAATACTTATTATTATTGCAATATGCGAAGTTTTAGCTTCGCCCGGGCCTTCGGCTATGGCCCGCTTGATTGCATTATTACAAGGACAAGTCCGATATGCGAAGCTGAACCTTGCCCGGGTTATGGAGGAGCCCGGCATCAACACTAATGTTAATTGTTATAAGAATAATGAGACTGATGACAATGTTAATAGTAATGAACAACAGGAATGAAGATAATGGTAATAATGCTGAAAATGAAAAAGACATAGATATAATTATGATAATACAGGAACTTGTGATAACAATGGTAACAATGATATTAATTCTTTGAACAAAATCTTTGTGTTTGGAATATCTATATTCATTTAACGAAAGAGATATATTTCATAACTCATAACGTCACCAGATACATAGATGTGATAAACGAAACATTACATTAAAAAATTACCTAATTCTCTATCTGTCAGTCTTTTATTCACTTTAGTTCTCCCTCTCTCTACCATTCTTTCATTCTCTTTCTCTCTCTCTCTCTCTCTCTCTCTCTCTCTCTCTCTCTCTCTCTCTCTCTCTCTCTCTCTCTCTCTCTCTCTCTCTCTCTCTCTCTCTCTCTCTCTCTATCTCAAATGCGTTCTCTTTAGTTCTCTATCTCTCTCTCTCTTTGGAATTTTCTTTACCTCAGTATGTTGGGATCTAATAATATTGGCCATGTTTGTTTTATGATACAATACTGTATATTTCACGCATAAATACATTCTTTTTAAACTACTGTTTTTAATCAATCATTTTCGTTTGGATTCGTTCCAGGATAATATCAATATAACAGACACGCGAAAAGGTTTTAATTTTACTTATATTTCTGTCAGTTACTTATATCCCCACCCCCCCTCTCTCTCTCTCTCGATATGTAAGCCATTTCACTTACTTTCAAGAATTTATACAAAATTCGAGTAGGTCAAGACTGCTAAACTATAAATGAAAAAGAAAATGCTATAAAACTACCGAGTCGCCCAGCCAGAACCAGTTGTAGGGATTTGATTCCGTTTATAATCGAGTGGCTTGTTGGTGCCTTTCTAGATAACTGTTGACCTGAGTGACCTCTGACCTCGAGAAGGGGACGTTATCTCTGAGAAGAACACCGCTGAGCACGAGCAAGTGCAATCAACGCCTGTTCATTTCCCCCCCCCCCCCCAAAGCCAAAAAAGGGTTTACTCTGGTATCAGTCATGGATCCTGCAACGTAGAATTCTTGGACGATACGGCCACTGCCACCAAATCTTAAAGAATTATAAGGCAAGCTGGGCTTTTGTATGCCAAATTCAGTTTAACACGCCTATGATCAAGGCCAATAGAGTATATAACTCAGTTATCCCTGAACTTCAGATTTCAAAGAAAGCGTGTCGGTTTGAAAAGTCATGACGTTTAATTAAATAGAATATATAACCTATTTTTTCTGTTATTGATTTTTTTTTCTTAATATATTATCGTAATGATTATCCACTCTGTTATCTAAATGATTGCTGTATGATTTGTATAATTACACCAGTTTTATATCATATATTGTACTTAATCATAATCATACATTTTTGTAATAATTGAAATATATATATATATTTCTACAAGTCTCATGGTATATGGACGTCACTTGGAATTCTGTTTTACATGCATAATTGCTTGTTATTGGTCATCTGTAGTAATCAATATGTAAGTAAAGAATGCAATTTTACACCACTTGTAAGTTTTAAAACTCACTTTGAGCCATCGAAAATAACGGCTAATAATTACAAATCCATGACAAAATCAGGGATTATAATGAATGTTTACGTCAATCTCTTCTTCTTCCTCTCCCATAACTCTCTCTTTTACCCATCCTAACCTGTGTTTCTTTCCCTCTCTTATTCCCTTGTATCTGTCCCCCTCTCTACCTGTCGCTCTGCCACTCCGTCCGTCTATATCTCGGAAATTCTTTCCTTTGTTCAGGAAAAAGGAGGCAGAGAAAGAAGAAGGGAGAGAATGATATAAAAAGAGAAAGTGAGTGACTAAAAGAGATAGAGAGGGGACAAAAAGAAAGAGAGAAAGGGGGAGGGGGCAAAGAGAGATAGAAAGAGAAAGTGAGAGAAAGATAGAGTGAGAAAGAAAGTAGGAAAGAGAGAGAGAGATTGTTTATTCATGATCCCATCGTTCATCGTATTTCGAATTAAGAATAAATGAATATAATGCAATTAATAAAATAAAATAAATCATACATGAAAGATCTTCTTAACGTGCCATATCAAGGATTGACGTTGGCGACCATGATCTTGAACCTTTTTCTATCCTGAGCAAGATGAAGCTCTCCTTTCCGAATTCCACCAGCTGCAATCACTAAACTGTCTAGAAAGCACTTTCTTTGCCGTCCTCTTGATCTTGAACCTTCAATCTTGCCCTCCAGAACCAGCTTCTCAAGACCATCCCCCCTAACAACGTGTCCAACAAACTTCAGCTGTCCTTGAATAATTTCTTTCACTAGTTTTCTTTCTTCCTTGACCGAATCTAAAATCTGTTCATTTGATTTCACCTTTGTCCACGACACTTTAAACATTCTTCGGTAACACCACATCTCCATCGCTTCCAAACGCTTTTTCATCTCCGCACTGATGGTCCATGATTCGCTACCATATTTCAGAATAGACCAGACATAACACCTCAGATAACGTTTTCTTGTCTCGATAAACAGCTTAGAATTTGTAGGGATACCCTTCTTTTCCATAAACTTTTTCTTAGCAATTGCAATTCTGCGTTTGATATCTTTATCGCATCTAACGTCACTTGTAAGTAGACTGCCAAGATATTCAAAATCTAGTACTTGCTCTATCGTTTCGTTGTCTAAATGGATGTTGCATGCTGGCTTTTCTTTACTTTTACTAAATACCATTACCTTTGTTTTCTTTTTATTTACATTTAATCCTCGTCGCATGCTTTCGTTATTCAGGCTAGATAACATTTCTTGGAGATTTTGTGCATCATCTGAAATTAAAACGGTGTCATCTGCGTACCGAATATCAGAGATTAGATGTCCATTTACTTTAAGCTTTCCTTCGACAACCCTCCTCATGATCAATTCAGCATATAAAGAAAATAAGTCTGGGGACAACACACATCCTTGTCGAACTCCACGCTTGATGTTAGTCCATTTGCTCATCTCCCCATCTAATGATATGGCCGCCATCTGTTCCCAATAAAGTATTTCTAATAATCTTTTATCTTTCTGATCTATATCTATTTGTTCAAGATCTTTCATTATTTCATGATGTTTAACTCTATCAAAAGCTTTCTCGTAATCAATAAAAACATATAAGTCTTTTTGCATTTCTATTGCTCTTTCTGCTAACATTCTCATAACAAAAGTGGCATTTCTGGTTCCTTTATCTTTTCTAAATCCAAATTGAGCCCACGAGACTTCGTCATGAATTTTCTTCTTTATTCTATTCATAATTGCTCTTAGTATTATCTTTGTTATATGGCTCATAAGACTGATAAGTCTGTAATCATTGCAGTTTAATAAGTCACCTTTCTTTGGGATTGTAATGAAAACAGATTCTTTCATTTGTCTGGGTATTGTACCGCTATTGTATATTTTATTTGCTAGTTCTAAAACTTTTTCTACACCAAATTCATCACATGCTTCAATCATCTCTTTACATATGTTGTCATTTCCAGTGGCTTTTCCGTTTTTCATAGATTTAATTGCAGCAACTATTTCAGATTTCAAAATATATTTTCCTGTCAAATCAGTTGTTACAAGTCTAGGTTCTAATTCTGGTCTTTGGTCATTAAATAGTTCGCCAATGTATTTCACCCACCTATTTAAGACTTGTTCCTTCTCAAAAATTACTTGACCTTTATGGTCCTTCAAAGCTGTGTTAGCTGTCTTCTTCTTTGGTCTTGTCATATTTTTGATCTTGTTATACATTGGTTGTTGATTTTTGTTGGCAAGATCCTCTAGCTCTTCACATTGTTTATTTATCATTTCCTCTTTTGCTTTATTACATTTCTGCTGAATAAGTTTATCAATTTCCTTATACTGTGGGGTCTTGTTTTTGTTTTTCAGTTTTCGACGTTGGTTCATTAAGTTTAGAATTTCTATTGTCATCCATGGTTGTTTAGCTTGAAAATCCTTTTTGGGTAAAACAGCTTTTGCAGTTTCAGTAAAAATCTGTTCAAGTTGGTTCCATTTCTCGCATGGATCTTCAATTTGACTTTCCTCAACTGATAATAAACTGTATCTATTTGTTACTTCTATTTTAAACTGGTTAGCAATTGTGCTGTCACTTTTTAACAAGGAATAGTTAATAGTTAATAGTTAATAGGAATACTTGAAAGATATGTACCTCAATTCACTGTACCCCTAAATCTTGCCTTCTTTTTCTAATCATGAATTTTAAGCAACGTTACTTAACTAATTTATATGACTCTAGAGAAAGTGAAAATAGGTGAATGATAGAAAGGTGAATGATAGAAAACACGTAAGACAAAAAGACGATAGATAGATGACTGAATGAGAGAAGGGTCAAAACAGCCAAACCTACAAAAGGAATGACAAAAAGTAATAATAACAGAAATAATAAAGCAAAGAACTGGGTTGAGAAATAGAGCGAGCCACAAAAAGGAAATGAGAGATAATGCCAGCATAAATACTTGAAAAAAACTATATATATATATATATATATATATATATATATATATATATATATATATATATCATTATTCATTATCCCTGAAGTCTTCTGTAACCTGAAAACAATGCACTTCTTATTTTCTACTCTTATGTGATTCAATATTTGGTGCATGAAGTTAGCAAGAATAAGAATATTATTTTGGTTCTACTTTTTAAATTAAGTATATTTAGTAGAAGAGTACTATTTACACTGATAAGTGATATTACCGAAATATATGATGTTATAAAAAAAATATAGCGACAGAAAGCGACCAGTGATTTTATTTCCATGATCAGATATTTGAAAACTATTACTGATGACCAAGTTAATAATGATGTACGTTAATCAAATAGATTTGAACTACTTATAGAAAACGTAATCTTGTTTCAACGTATAATTACAAATCTATATTGATATACTATCCATATTATTGACAAGGAACTGAGAAAAATCAGCTGGCAAATGAATACCTTTTGTATATACTGATTTTTTTTCTCTTCTCTTTGTACCTTTCTTTCTTATTATACAGATAAATTTCATCTCAATATTGTAACCGACACTCTAATACCTAAAATTTCTATCACGTGTATATCTATTTTCTAATGGTTGTTACAAAATGACAATTTAGTTCAAGGTACAGATATATTGAGAGTATGTGCGTTAGAAACCGAGGAAGTTCCCAGACCAAATTGACGAACTTTATCGAATGTTTTGTTTAATTCAAACTTTTATCTTAAAAAAAGTATTGAACAACAGTAATGGTGATGGGGGTAATAATATTGAAAATGCAGAATTACATATAATTATGATAACTCGTCATAACAATGATAACGATAAAAAGAATTCTGAGAAGCATAATTTTTGCATTTGGAATATTCATCTTTATCTAAGGAAACGATTTATTGCATACTTACCAAAAAGTCACCAGGTTGATGAAACAGGCCAAGCAAAAACAAAACAAAACAAAATTAAACTGCAACTGTCTCTTTCTCTCTTTCTCTTTCTCAGAGAGAGAGAGAGAGAGAGAGAGAGAGAGAGAGAGAGAGAG